ATTTTATTTATTTGTCAGAAAGAGCGAAAGAGAGCGAGCACAAGCGGGGGGAATGGCAGGCAGAGGGAGAAACAGACTCCCCGCCAAGCAAGGAGCCTGATGCAGGACTTGATCCCAGGACTCTCGGATTATGACCTGAGCCGAAGGCAGACACTTAACCAACTGAGCCACCCAGGCATCCCAAGAATTCAAATTTTTTAAATTATTCTTTTCTTGGCTATTTTTTTCAGTTTTATTGGGATAGAATTGACTTGTAACATGGTATTTATTTAAGGTGTACAATACAATGATCTGATACATGTATACATTGCAAGATGGTCACCATGATAAGCTTAGTTAACATCTATCACCTCAAATAGTTACAATTTGTTTTCTTGTGATGACAACTTGAAGATCTGTTCTCTCCCTTACGTATTTGCATTCTACGAAGATAGCACCTCTATAATACCGGTGGCTTCTGAAAAAGGCACTGATATTGAAAGGGAAGGAAGGGTGCTTTCATTGTTTTAATGAATAACTTTGGTATTGCTTGATGTTTTTTCACCGTGAGAGCATATGTATGCATTACTAGTTTGTTTTAAAAGTAAATGAAAAAGGGATTGGCCTTAGCGCTACCTTCTTGGAAACCTCTGCGCCGTGAGAGGTTTGTGGAGGAAGAAGCAAATGCTCAGGTTGAAGTGAACAAGAAGAAAGACAAGGCAGAGTCCAAGTAAACCATTAGCTTTTGCACTCACGGAAGCCATAGCAGAAATAAGGAAAGCCAGAGGCCAGGGGTGCTGGTACAAATTGTTGGATCACATGCCTACTTTCTAGAACTTGATTCAGTGGATCTAGAATAGCCATCCACTTTTGAGAGACCCACCTTGCTTACACCAAAACAGTCCATTTTGGTCCTTTGCCCTGGACCTGTGACTTTTGAGACTAATTCTGTTTTCATTTGTGGCTGAATGTAACAGGTGTACAACAAATCATCTCTTCTTTTTTTTTTTTTTAAAGATGTTTTATTTATTTATTTGACAGACAGAGACATAGCAAGAGAGGGAACACAATAAGAGGGAGTGGGAGAGGGAGAAGCAGGCTTCCCGCTGAGCAGGGAGCCCGATGCAGGGCTCTACCCCAGGACCCTGGGATCACGACCTGAGCCGAAGGCAAGACGCTTAACGACTGAGCCACCCAGGCGCCCCACAGATCATCTCTTCTGCTGTCTTAGCTAAAGAAAAAAAAGTAAACGAAAGGTAAAACTAGTAATGAAAAACATTTTAAAAGAGTAAGTTGCTGGCATCATGTGCCCCCTACAAGGACATTCCCCTCTAAAACCCCAACAGACCCGCCCAATCAGGAAACTCACAAGGATACCTGACTGCCATCTATCTGCATACCCCACTTGAGTTTCTCCAGTTGTCTCAGTGGTGTCCTTTATCTCAAAAGGATCCAGCCTGCCTTCTGTGTGGGTCACTGTGGTTCTGCCCTCTCGCCCTGCACGGAGGCCTAGCTTGCTCTGCTGGGCCAGACTACCTTAGGGCTGAGCTGTTGAGGCAGGCAAGAGCAAGAGGAAGAATGAATATATATATATGGTTTTATCTTATATATAAAATAATGCATTATATATATTACATATTTTACATAATATATGTAATGTATCTTGTTGTTTGATATAACACATCCAAAGACACCTCGGGCTTTAACTGAAATATTTGAGTGAATTTTGCCTCTTCTGGGCAGATGCCCCTTCAAGGCAAGCCACAAGGCAAGTGTGTTTGTGTGGGGGCAGTCCCCTGTGCCGGGGCACGTGGCCCTTGTCCCTAGTAAGGCCCCTGACAGCACTGTACAGATTGCACAACCACGTGTAGTGGGCTCTGGAGTCAGACTGCTGGGGTTTATGTCCAGGCCGGCCACCCATAACTGTGTGGCCTCAGACACGCTACGGACTCTCTAGCCTCTGTAAATAGAGAGAGTAAAGGAAAGAACTCAATTATAGCCCTGTTGGAATATTGCATGAGCTCAGGCACTTTAAGCACTTAGCACAGTGCCTGGCACGTGGTAAACCCCAGGAAGAGTTTGCTCCTACTAATACACCTGCATTTATCTTAACGTAAAGAAGTCTACCACATGGTGCTGGAGGGCTGAGGAAGGTATGTCTCGTTAGCCTGTGGCTTCGGGTAGTGCATGGCACATGGCCCCGGGCAACTCACTGCAAGTGAGTTTTTCTCCAGTTTCTGAAGCCAGGATGGCTTTCTGCCCTTCCTCTCCTCAGGCTGGAGAAATAGAGAATAAATAGCCAGAGCATCCAGGCATCCCTTCCCCTCTCCACTTCCTACTTCTTTCCCCAATCTCCACCTCTCCCCACATCCTGAGGATGAACAAAATAGCAGATGGGAGAAGTGAAACAGGACCAGGCTGAATGGTCCTGGCAGCACCCGGCTCCCCCGAGGCTGCCGAGGCAGCACGCTGATGGCTCAGAGCCTGGCCAGGGGCCCCGAGAGAGCCGAAATGACAAATAGCTTTGGCCCTGTTTTGGTTCATGTTGTGGCAGGAGGGAGGAGCCTGAGGTGGAAAATGACCCCCACCCCCCAGCCTCCATCCCCTACGCCTCTGCCCTGAAACGGTGGTTTCTCCAGACAGCAGGAAAAAAGCTACCTCCCTGCTCCCAGCCCACTTCTAGACTGGCCACCTGCTCGCTCTACAGGGCAGGCCACTCTGGGACTTTTCATGACAAACAGTCTCCTGGGTTGTTTGGGGATATGGGGTTTGTGTGAGAGACTGGGGAGCCTGCTTTGCTGATGAGGTCACTCTTCCTTGAGCTATTACCTTGCTTTCCTTGGCCAGAGCAAGCTGCAGGAATGCCTTGGAGCAGTGTTTGTTTGTGAAACATCAAATCCCTGCCTAGTTACGCCCAAGCAGGCCAGCTTGCCTCCAGACCCCAGTCCCTCAGTGGTTCTTCCGTCTTCAGTCCTGCAGGTACAGGTGTCTGTTACTTGCCTTGGAACCAAAGGGCTGGAGCTCGGCCGAGGCAGGCTGGGCAGGGGCCAGCTTCCCTCCTGGAGCCGGAGGACATGGGCCGGCCCTGTGGTCTCCTGGGCCAACGTGCTCTGTAGATTTCATTTGCAGACTAATTTCGCTGGTAGGGAATATGGGCAAGAGGCCAGGGCAGCATTTGGCAAGGAGGGGACATCTCCCAGAGAGGGAGAGCTGTTTGAATTCCCAGGGATTGCACTCTGAATTCCTGCCCTCCACTTCCTGCCTGTGGGCCGGTGGCCGGTGGCCCGCACTGACCTGGCCTGCGGGTAGCCATCTCCAGCTGCAGGCACTGACCCCACAGGCACACCAGGGGGAGCAGGTAGCCTGGGTCCCTGCCAGCCGGGAGTTTTTGCCCTGCCCGCTGCTGACGGGCCTGGCCCCACAGTCTGGCCCCAGGCTCTGCAAACGATTCTATTTTAGGTTGCTGACTAGCTCTTCAGCCCTCATTCCTGTCTTGAGCTTCCTGAGTCACTTCTCCTCACTCCCCGCTCTGCTTCTTTCTGAATGGAGTGGGTTAGCATAACACCATATGTTAGAAGAGCAATTCACAATTGATAAAGCCTTTTTGTGCACCAGCTCTCTTCTGATCTTTCATCAGCCTGTGAGGTCCACCAGGCAGGTAACTTAATCCATGTTTCACAGATGAGCAACAATGGAGGCTTAAAGAAACTCAGGCAGTTTGATCTACGAGATACACACACACACACACACACACACACACACAGAAGCACACTGCAAGTCATTGTGGAGTTGAGTCTTAAGAATCAGGCTTCCCGTCTTGAGTCTGATGCGCATCCCTACCACCCTACATGTCTAGGTGTCCACGGTATAGGGCACTGGCAAGTGAGACCCTGCAGGACCACCTGTGGTGGCCATTTCTTTTCTTCTTGATGGAGGATGCTTGCTTCTGGGGACCATTGCACTTTGAATCTAAGGCATTTAAAATACTGATGGGGCATAAGCAGAACTCCAGACAAAGTAGAGGAAGTAGCCTGAATTTGTTCCCCCATCCGAGGCCCTTAACACCCTCCTCTCACCTTATCTCCAGGTTCCTAAGAAATCCTTTCCTCCATTCCTTGGAGGAACAAAGGATTGATAACAATTCACACTGTTTAAAGGGTTACCCCTCCGGACCTTAGCTCACCTTACAATTATGTGGTCTATGCCACAACTTACAAGACAGGCACATCCAAATGCATTGTCTTGTGAAAATGAATTAAGGAAATCTCACTAAAATGGAGTCAGGAGGTTCAGCATGGGTAGCTCTCACACCCTTCCATTCCTCATCTATTGCTAATCCAATAGGAAAAGGTGGATTTTGCATGTGGCTACTACTTGACTACCCCAGCAAGAGGAAGGAAAGCTTTCTTCCTCCCTTGGCAACAACCCAGCCAATGAGAGACAGTTATAACTCAGCCAATGGAAAGCCACTATACTTCAAACTCGCAGTTTACTCCAATGGGCTTGTCGTTTAAAACAGCCCTTCCAACTTCCAGCTTCCTCTATAAAAGAGCGTTTCTCCGCTTTGTTTCCTGTACTTACCTATGGTTTTGATGAGTTTCTCTGTCCTAGAGTGCAGTTCTCTGCTATTCCTTAATAAAACCGTATTTGCTAGTAAAATAGCTGGCAGTTTTATTTTTAAGGTTATTAGTCTCCAGGAGAAAGTACAAATTTTTAACAACTAGCATAGCATGGACAACCAATGAGAACAAACCTGGGTCATAGCACTGGGTAGGTCTTGGAGCCCCCCCTGCCCCTCCATAGTGCTAGGCATTACCTATAGCTGCTGATCCATGGGGAGGTCTGCAAGAGTCCCAGGAGGGGGGCTGGGCAACCAGGGCCAAGGGGGGTACTTTGGGGAACTCTGGGCATTGGCCATTGCCAGCTAGTGCCAAAGCACTCAGACATTTCCACACATGCACCACCATACTTGTGCACACCATTGTATATTAATGTCAATTGTCTTGTTTAATCTTTTCTAGGACATGTGGAAGGATATACTACATTTTCTGTTCAACGATGGAGGAAATTGAATCTCCATGACATTCAACAGCTTCTCAAGCTCTCACAGCCAGTGTTTCTGGCAGCTGGAGAAGTTCAGGGCATGGAGTACCCAAGGTGGGAGGCCCTTTGTGAGATAGAGGAGGTGGGGCTCCTGAGTAGGCCGAGGGCACCACTGAGGGCTCAGACCCCGCCAGATGTCAGGGAGCTGGGGGTGGGGAAACAGAAAGAAAAGGTATGTGTGTTGATGCTGACTGGGAAGTTGAAAGAGGGTGGGGGTGGGCAGACATTGAGAAACTGGGAATAAGCCTGCCCTCAACACAGGTTTGCTGTGGCAAGAACTAGTCCTGAGTGAAACAGAGAAATCATTTTCATGGTTTGCGTTGCCTGTTGCCCTATATGTGAATATTGTCACCCAGAGAATGTGATCACATTTGGAGCACTAGCTGTGGCATTTCATTTTAGAACTAGCTGTGTCTTGTTCATCAGGGGCTGCTGATCAGCCACTGAGGCCTGCTCCCCACTGCCTGCGATTGCTAGGCTGGGTAGCCTCCTGAGCTCTGTGGATTGTGATGTAAGCAACAAGCTGGTGCTTGTTGAAGTAGGGCCTCTCCCTGAAGAATGCTGGGGCCCAGGTGGTTTAAAGAGTAGGAAACTCAATTTGATCTTCTGGGGATGGAGTCTGAAATGTTAATCAGCACTTGCCTAGAATTCCAGGTACCCCCTTTTCTCCCCGGCCATGCTGCTATTTGGGGCTGGGCAGGATCCAGATTCCTGCCCCACCCCCTACCCTGTTCTTCCTGAAAAAGCACAGACCCTTCTTAGGCCATCAGGCAAAGGCCTAGCTGCTTGCTCCCTGGGAGGGGAGTTGAGCCTCATGGCAACCTGTGCACCAATGGCCCTGCCCAGGCCTCCAGGAGTGGCAGCAGTGTGGGAAGGGCTTATGATGTGAAGTGGTACAAGCCTCTCTACTGGGTTTTCCCCACAGACCCCAGCTAGGGGCTAGGAACCAGGTTGGCACAGGCCCAGCTGCCCTTTCGATGAGCAAGCCCCATGTCAGGTTTCTTCTGCTGCTGCTCCCTTTGAGAGGACATGCCTTTCCCCAAACTATATGCTCCCTCCCAACAAAGGATATTAATAGGTGCGAGTCTTGCCCCAAGTCCAGGGTGACCCAAGAGACCCCCGCAAAATAAAAGACTTTTTTCTAGGCACGTGGCCTGTCTGCAAAATGAAATCTTTCTTCCTATGCACGTTGGCGATGCGTTCACCACAAACCTCTAAACAGAGGCTGACATTTCTTATATTAAAAATGAAATGCAATTCCGGAGGATTAGAATCCTTGGGAGAGTTATCTTCTTGTGTTTTTCCTTGCTTGTCCCTAGGTCTCTGCCAATTTAGAGTCAGAGACAACATGTCACATGATTCCTTTTGAAATTGGGCTCTGGCAGCCGTGGCTCAGCCTACCCACTGCCCATCTGCCTGCTCTGAAGGCGACACAAGCCTTGGGGGGGTGGGGACTGCCAGAGAGCACACAAGTCAGAACTGAAATATTTGACTGGACTTGGTCCTAAGAGAGGCGATTTCATTACCCTAAATGTCCTGGAAACCCTGTTGCCTCTGGCGCGAGAAGGCTCCAGGCTCCGTCATCCTGGACAGCAGTCTGAGCTAGCCTTGGCGCCCTTCTGCAAGTGGCTGTAATGTGAGTCACAGGGCCAGTCTCCAGGGAGGCTGAACATGAGGTGGGCACAGAAGAGAAAAGCTCTGTCTTCCCTGGCCTCAGGGGAGACAGGCCAGCAGGCTGGGATGGCCACTGGGCCCCCTGGGATTTGTGGTGGGGATTGAGGGGTGGGCATCAGGGAGGAGGGTGAGCCCTGAGAGGACAGGTCATGCCAGGCCGAGCCCCGTCAGAAATGGCCCCGGTGTTGACTGTTGGGCAGGGCCCGTAATATCAAAACCAGACACTGCCTTAGGACGGAAAGAACATTCTGGATTCTTTCTCACAATCCTTTTCATTTAGGTAAAGGAACAGTGAGGTCCAGATTCATAATTCTTTCCCTTGGTGAAAGCCTTCTCTCATTCAGTGAGGGAGCCTCATACTCTTGTGGTGGTTTACTGATGTCACAGACAAAGCATACTTTATTTTTATTTGAACTGGTCAGTTAAAACATTCTATGCAAGGCAAACACTTCATCATGAAATATTTAAATTAAAAATAAATAAGTTAGTTGCATCCTACAGAAATCTCCAGGTGCCACATACAAATGGAGGACATCAGCTATAGACTAAATAAGTTGAAATAAATAGTTTTAGGATACTCTGATTGATATAGGTCCAGCATAAATCACCTACTTGTTCCCTAACTGTGCTCCAGGCCCCATTATCTATACTGTGCAAGACTATGAGTCTGTTGAGACTAGGCCCTCATCGAAAGAGCCCTTGATGCCTGAATCCCCAAATCATGTTCCAACGTGAGGATTGGGTGCTGAGCATCTAAAACAATGACTGAAGGGCAGGGATCAGCAAGGTGAAGGCCCAGAAGCCCAGGCCTCTTACCCCTCCATGGCTCCTTACGGTTCACCTGGAGACATGGAAACAGGTAACTTAGCAAAAGGCGACAGAGTGGTAGCCTATGAATAACCCTCGAGACTGGTAACGTGGCTAAGTTCTTCATTGTACCAAGACGTGGCGATTTCCAGCCGAGTCTTAGACTAAGTTTCACCATGGAGTGTCTGATTTTGCTAAATGGGTTGGATTAATTTAAGCTTCTGAATTAGAACACCAGCCTTCTGGGGGCAGAGTGGAGGCTATGGATGACAGATATGCAGGACATGTGCCACTAATGGCCTCTACAGGTCGGCATTCCTAACTGACCACTGCACGCCTGCATCTCAGACTCCACCTCCACACAGTGCTCTAGGCCGCCTCTGCCAATCATCGGTGTTTAGCATCTGAGGTGAACATTATTTACTAACCTTGATCCTTCTCTATGTTCTGAGCTATTCTGTGTGAAGGAAGAGATACAAACACCAGGCACTGAAGCCTGACACCCATGTGAGTCAGGCACCTCGAGACTAATCATTTAACTGCTTTAAACTGTCATCTACGAAAGGGAGAAGGACACCTAACTCAGAGTTGTTAGACAGGGAGAATGTATGTAAAGTGCTCAGTGTCATGTCTGATACACGGTAGGCATTTAATAGATGAGAGCTGTCGTTATATTATCACCGTAAGTCTGTCGATGTTAACAATGGGATTAATGATGACATTTCCATTAAAAGAAGGAAAGCACAATATTATATATTAGGTTGAACCATGTGAAATTGATCAGTTGTTTCTGACCTACAGAGATGGCAATTTCTTCAAGTTCAACCCAATACTTAATGATGTATTTCATTTAAATCACTTACTTTTTCCAACTTTATCACATTTTTCCTTTCAAACATTGCCCCCAGAGACATACTCCTACCCCTCAAAACCTTCCTTAAATCAGTTGCTAAAATAAGCAAAGCAATGAGTCTGGTGGACTTGAGGGCCTAGTATCCAGTTCCACTAACTGTCTCTCATAAGGCCTTGGCTTCCTCATCTGTAGACTGGGAATAATTGTGCTTTCTTTAACAGGGATAATGGATGGGAAAGCACTTTCAAAAGTTAAAATCATTTTGCCAGTGCAAGGTATTATTAATTTTACTAGACTCTGCCACTTCAGAAAACATTAGCATTCAACGTTTAATTTTTAATCATGTTTCTCTATAGAAAAGCTGCATGTAAAAGAATAGAGAAATCATGCAATCATGCCAAATGATCAGTACTGATCTTGACAACACTGTCAAATGGATATTAGAACTGTAAGTAAATATATAGTACTTTGTCATTAAAAATTGTACCTTGTCAAGATGAAATAAATGTGATAAGAGGAATAGTAAGAACCACGGTGTTTACAAGTGCCTCAAATGTCAAGCTCTTATATTTATACCAGAAATCACACACATTAGAACAACTCACAAGGAAGACTGAGGAACTGCCTGCTTCCTTCTTTGGAGGTCTTTAAAATGGGTTGGGAAAGTTTGATTGTGGTGTGGTTTTGCTTAAAGATAGGGATATAAACTCTATGACCTCCCAAAGCCACTTTCAGACCAGTGGCTTTATTGATTCTAAGAAGGCACACTTTTCTTTTGCCTTCCAGGGGAGTTCCTTGCTTGTACCCTAAACCAGGGCTATTGGTTAGTAAGAGATGGTGATGTGTTTGGACCAGCTACTAGCAGAGGTGAATGTGGCTCAGTTCCAATCTGGAAGTTTTCTCCCCCATATGCAGTGAACTTTGGCCAACTCAGGACACCTGGGGAGCATCACCTTTAGTCAGCCTCAAAGGCACTGTTGGTAGCTCCCACATATTCAGACTTCTTCTTGTGCCTTGTCCACATTTTCCGGAGGATGCTAGGGACACCACAGGAAGCGCTTCCTGTCAGTGGTAGGGAGGCTTCTGCTCCCTGGGGAAGGGTCGGATACTCTTCTGTCATCTTCTTGAGATGTCTGGATCTAAAGAAAAGCCAGGGGTAGGGAGGGAGGACAGTCATTTCACAGAGCCAAACTTTTAATTTTTGCCCTCAAGGAGTAGACCGAGCTCTTATTTCTCCTCTGCTCTGTGACCAGGATAGAGGGTCACTGTTGGGACGCACATACGGATGACTTCTTTTGGGGGATCCTCACATGGGGTGAGGGAAGGAGGTGGCTCTGGGCACAGTGGTTCATGGATCTCAAGTTCTGCTCTTGTCCCAAGTTCTCCTTTCCCACCCCTCCCACTTCTAGACCGACAATCTTGATGGAAAGGGCAAGCTTCCCAAAGCATAAAGCTATAGAAAGAGCCCGAGCCCTGGGGGTGCATCCTGCTGCTCACCGACTGTGTGGCCTCACCAAGTGACTTAATCTCAGCCAGCCTCAGTTTCCTCATGTACAAAAGGGGAATCATTTCATCTAACTCACAGGACTTGTGAGGTGGAGAATGAGATAATAAAGCACTGGGCTCAGTGTAGACCTCAATAAATGTTTATCTTTCTCTTCACTTCCTCTCCCTAGGTGAAAGAAATGGCCTGACTTTTCAAGAGCCAGCCTCCAGGAGCACATGGAAATGAGAATGTCTGAGCTCAGAGAGAAAGGAACCGTGGAGGACCCTCGACACAGCTATGTGGAACAGAAAGGTTGGTGTGTGCCGCTCAGTAAGTTGTGGGCTTACTCCAGCCTTCAGCAACAGCTACTGCTGCTCAGGACCGTTTGCCACTAGACCTTCAAACAATCCACGTGCCTTTCTGACTTTTCTCCAGTTAGGTCCAAGTACATTGAGTGACTTGGTTTTTATAATTCTTTCTAGATTATTTTCTTTTATCTACAAGAGCTTCACATTGGTCTCTTCCTCCTTGGAGTCTAAGCTTCCAAGGTGTGGACACTTGGGTTGATATTTCAGCCCACGGTCCCTCTGGTGTGCACATCTCACATGCTCCCAAGGACGTGTCTTTCCAACTGCTAGACTGTAGGTTTCTTGAAATATAACAGCCACAGTTTGTGCTAAGTTCTTCACATATCGTCCCATTCCATTCTCACAATAATCCCTCAAGAGGGGTATTATGATCATCCCCCTTTTTTGTTTTTGTTTGGAAATAAATGAGGGCATGGAGGTCATAGCAGGTTAGTGGTGGTGCTGGGCCAGCAAGCAGCTGGGAGTCAAGAGCCCACACCCTTCATCAACCCCTAAGCCCCTTTTCTACTATGTGCAGTATGGACGATGGTGGCGGGGGCATAAATGTGCATGCTGACGAGTTTCCGGCACCTGCCTGTCATCTACTAGTGCAGCCTGGAAGGTAGTGGGGGAACTGCTGGGGGTAGGGGAGGGGACTATCTACTTCTCCTAGTCTAGCTGCTGGTTCAGGATCAGAGTTAACAGTAACATGGGGGTTATGCATTTGGCTTGAAACATGTGTATCTTACATATTTCTTTACCTTTGGGCAGGGGCCCTTCACCTAATTCACGAGGCATTTCTGACACCACTGTGCCTACCAGGAGGCTCTGAATATGACCTGTGATTACATTTATCTAATTAACCAAAAACCCTCCCGAATGACACTTCTGCAAGTCTAAAAAGTGGTGTTAATGAAGTGGAAACCATCAAAAACACTTCAGCTTAATCCTAGGGAAACAGTTGATGAGGCGCTACAGAGACCCAGGATTATTGCCCTCATTAAAAGGTAATTTAAAGCTGGCATGGATTTTGTGTTAGCATCTTGAGAGTCTGTAAGCCAGGCCACCTGTTACTCTTCTGTGGCGGGATCAAGAGTGGTTGGGGAGCCCTGCCATCAGCAGGTGGGGAATGGGGGGTGGGGGGACAGGGCACTTACCCTCTTGTCAGAACAGCTCCGTTTTCTGAGCCTGTGGCCGCCGCCTCCAGCACGCCGGGGGCTTTCACTGAGATCCGGGCCACCGGAGGAATCTGGGTGTTGCAGAAGGGGAAGGGAAGGGGAGGATGTGGCCATGGTCCCAACTCTGGCACTGAATGGAGCCAGCTGAAAGGGGGGTGACCCCATCGACCCACCGCCCAGGACGATAGTCCTCACACTTTGGCAGGCATCAAGGCTCCCCTGTGGGGCTTGTGAACACTGTGCGGGGCCTACCATAGTTTCTGATTCAGTAGGTCTGATGCGGGCCCAAAAGTCTGCATTTCTAATAAGTTCCTGGGTGCTGCCTATCCCAGGACCCCACTGAGAACCACTGACCCAGAGAACTTGAGAGCACAACTCAATCTTACCTGACAACTCTGTCCCCCACCCCCCCAACTCCCATTCCCTGTGTCCACTTTGTTGTCAAATCCTGCAGATTCGTGCTTTGAAGGACTGCCTCGATCAGGGCCATCCTCCCCATTTCCTCTGCTGCAGCCTTCGGCTCCAGTCACCTGGGACCTCCTTGCTTTGGACCAGACCCACCACTAATCTCAGCCCCCCATGGATTTACAGCGCCTCCCCATAGCAGGCGGGACTGATGCCAACTCTGGAAGCACAGGCTCCTCAGAACCCGGCTCCCCTTCATCTACGCAGCTCTACCTCTGTTATCCCCCGTGGGTACTGTGACAGCTCCCATTCCAGCGGGGCTGGCCTGGCCTCTCCTCTTGCTCACGCTCATTCCCATGCACAACAAACCCTTTCCTCATGCTCATGCACAGCACCGCATCGTGCCTCGGCTTTTCCTTCACCCTCTGGATGGAGCCTCATCTCTGCCTGCCATTCAAGGCCACTTCTTCCCAGAGGCCCTTCCTTAGGCTGGTGGCCTAAGTTGATTTCTCTCGGCCTTTATGCCCCATGTCCCACAGTACTGAGTACCTGTGTGATATGTTCAATTCTTTCTACAGTTCTCTTCTTGTTTCATATGCTTGTCTAGTCTCCCAGTCCTCAGAAAGGTGACATGGTGTGTGTCAGGGTCTGTCACTTAATCCCTTTGGTGGCCCTCTGCAGCCCTCCTAAAGGAGATGGTGAGTGCTCAAGAAGCATGTGCTGAATGGAAAAGTAACTGACGGCCTAACAAGGGCTAAATCCAGAATTTGCTTAGTCAATGGGCATATGCTATGCTTTGTTCCTTCACCCCAACCTCATTGAAGGCTTTGGGTCACCACATTCCTGGAATGGCTGGGAAATTCCAGGTGGAGGACATCATGATTAACTGTCCCCTTCTCTGCCTAGCTGGCCAAAGTTTGTGGACAGAGTTACTGTGCCACCTTGTGGCCTCTCGGGAGCTCTCCCTCCCCACCGTGCCAACAGTCCAGCCCCGGGAACATAGACCCGCCTCTCCTTCTCCAGAGTCCTTAGTCCTCCTCCAGTGCGTGTCAGCATTGAATCAATTAGCAATGCTAATTGCACAATTAGTTGTGCAAGCTCTGAATCATTCTCCCACCCTGGGATAAGGGGCCTCTGAGGAGCTGCAGGACCCTCAGGGGAAAGTCAGTCATGCTGCCTCTTTGTCACTGTGTCCGCAGGACCACCCTATCCCATCCCAATTCATCCTGGCCTCCCAGATGCAGGTACCTCTCCGCCAGAGGTACTGTGTGAGTCCAGCCCAGGGGCTTGGGGCAGGTAATCCAAGGCTGTGAGCCACCCTCTTCCCCTTAAACTTGGTCTTCCTCCGGCCTCAGCTGAGGGCAACTCTTTGAGCTGTCACAGCCTGACAATCTATGGCAATGGCCCAGCCTTCCTCAGTTTCTCTCGAGTACTAGGTTGGGGCAGGGGGCTCCTGATAAAACAGCTTGGCCCATCCCTGCCCTTTGTGTGGTTCTCCTAGTACAGGGATGACCTAAATGAGGTATTTGGATTAGATTTTAGGCTCAGATGGGGAGTGAAGGGCTCACTGTCCAATTTGTTCCAGAAGGATGAGGGGGCTGGCCCACACAATCTCCAGGGTCTTTTCTAGTCCTCACATGGCATGATCCACCAATCTGGAGAGCTGCTGCTCACAGAGCCCAGGGTGCCCGAGCTGACCTCACCTCTAGCCACGGTTCCGCCCCTACTGTGCCACCCCACACGGTACCCACATACACGCCCAGAAGATGATGCAGGAGATTTTTTTTTTTTTTTCCAGAGTGACCCTGAGCTAGATCTGGATGTGCACCCCCTGATCGCCCTTCAGGGAAGGAAAAGTTGCCACCAGTGGGGCAGGCCACGCGCCATGACAGAGCAAGGAGGAAACAAAGGTTTGACCATTTGGGCCCAACTTAGGACAAGGTGGATGGGTAGCACTGGCCCCAGAGCTCCTGCCAGGAGGTATCCGGTGTGCACAGCAGTTCAGCCTCTGCGCAAGCCGACCTCTCTTCTCCTGTCACAGGTACTGATCCCTAATATACATCTCAAAGCTCCTACCGGGCATCTCAGAGTCGGCCTCCAGAGACCCTGAACTGGAGCAGATGTCCTCCAGAGGTGGCTTGACCAGAGATGCCTGGTGTTTTGTGTTTTCACAACGTTTAAGACCCTCGCAGCTCTTTACCCCCATAGCTGCCCCTGGGAATTAGGTGTTTCCACCTGACACGTGCCTACCACAGAAACCACTTCTTTCCCCCCATGTTTGAGATGTCCTCTAGGCAATACCTTCTTCTGCTTGCCTAAAAGCTGAATTTCTGGCAAGAAAGAGAACAACAGTGGTATGCTGTGAGCTGACAGACTTTAGGAGCAAAGAACCCTCAGGTAGGCTTTTCTGATAATCCTCGGGCCTGAAACAAAGGACAGGGTGAGAAGTTTAAAGCACAATGGATAGAACTAACCAAACTTATTTTACTTACCAAAGACTTTCCATATGCTCGATTCCCACACAGATTTGATGATTTGGGTTCCGAACTCCCCACTGCAAGGTTGAACAGAGAAGACATTACTCAGTGGTACTCTGTGTTCTACTTCCCCCCTCTTCTGCATCAATGATCTCATTAACTAATCAATCACAAGCTGGGAATTTCTAAAGGCCTTTGTGCCAAACGGCAAAATCAGGCAGTAGGGTCAGGCAATGGGGCAACTGTCGAGTGGGTCACCTGTACCCCTGGCACTCTTCCAGGCGTGGGGTGGGCGGGGAGGGTAGAACTGAGGTCTAATAAGATCGTGTGTGTGGAAGCATTTAGTACTGTGTCTGCAGGCAGTAGGCGCTCAGAGAATGTGCCCTTAGCTTGTCCTTCCTTCCTAAGGTGCCACATCACAAGAGGTTATCAGGAGTTAAGTCTCTACTGCTGGGATCGATTTTGCTTGCTGATCCTGGACACTCCTCTGTGGAAATGAGCAGAGAAGGCTGACTGCGGTGGGAAGCACAGCTTCATGATGTGTGAGGGTTGGAGATTATCTGAGTCCTGAGACATTGGCTACACAGGACTTACGTGAGAACCTTCTTGCTATGCCTTTATTCCTGAAGCCCGACCTACTTCTGAGTTATCTCTACCCTGAAGTCTGCAGCTTCTGAGAATGCAGGTGTTGAGCTGGCAACAGGTAGGGGAAAGTTGGCTTTCAATACAGTCCTCTCCTTGGGCAGACATTCCAGAACGAGCCCCATCCTATCACACTATAGCAAATACAGATAAAACACTCCCCAACCCAAGGAAGAAAACATTTCAATGGCAATAAAATGAAGTTACAAGACTACCAAGATTAAATCATAACGTACAGTGCTCTGGCATAAATAATAACAGCAGCTCATAGTTTTGAGTATTTACTGTATCAGGCACTGTGCTGAGTATAAAACACATAAACATTATCTCATGTAGCCCTTACCATAACCCTGTTAGGTAAATATCATAATAGTCCCCACTTTCCAGATGAGGAAATCGAGGCTTTGGAGAACAGTTAGAAGAAGCCAGGTAAGGATGATCTAGGGAATGGCAAACTGCTTTGGGGGTCTTTCAGGGCTGGAGAAATGTGACTGAGGGACACCCTAACCCAATCTGGGAGGTATTTGCCAGGTAGAGACAGGACAATCTGCAGAAGGGACAGGGTCAGGGAAGTTCCAGGAAACAGAATATAATGGAGCAGTCACAGAATTGAACTGCAGCTCAGGATTTCTGTGTGTATGGATGGGTGGAGACAGGAGTGTGCCCTGGAGAAGTCAGCAGAGAATGGATTCTGGAGGGCCTTGAACATGATCTGGAGGGCGGTGGGGGTAGGAAGGACCCTGAAGCAGAAGGATGGCAGAGGCAGATTTCTGCTTTAGACAGACCCCTCTGGTAGCCTTGTAGAGGGAAGAAGGGCTGGTGGCTGAGGGCCGGGGTTGGATGCTACACACCAGAGATGAAGGGGGTCTGCGCCCAGGTAGCCTGAGGTAGGTACCAAGAGGGAGAGATGAGACATATCCAGGAGTTGACATTGTCAGTGTTTAGTATGTGACGTGGTGGGTGGAGTGGGGGTGGGGAGGACAAGGGGGTGTTAAGGAAAACATCCCAGCAGAGAAAGGAAGACAGGTTTGAAGGAGGAGGACACATTCCATTTGAACAAGCTGATTCTGAGGTGCCTGAGGACATCTTGGTGGAGACATTCCATAGGCAGCCAATTCTCCAGGGCTCAGGAGGTGGTTGTCCCCATTCCAGGCATTTGAGGCTCACCTACCCAGGGCCTCATGGTGAGAGAGTTTCTCAGCTGGGTCTCTGCCTTCAGAGTCCCTTCAATTTCCAAGATTCCTCGGTGAATCTTTCTCCCACATGAGAAGGCTACATCATCCAGGAGCCTTCTCCTACAGCTCAGAAAAGAAGTAAGCCCCCAGATCTGAGATCCCTGGAGACACATGTCCTTCTGATGGGAGGTTGGAAGACTCAGTGCCCAAGCCTTTCCCATGGAAAGCCCTGGGTCTGGCTTTGACTCAGAAACCCTCCGTCTCCCCCAACCTCCCTCTGGAATCTATCAGATTGGGGGAGCTGAAGGAATTGAATCAATGCCCAGCTCATTTTTTTTTTTTTTTAAAAACCTGACTAGCACATTCCCTGCATGAGCTGACTGTCACATGTTGGGTAGATTCTCTGCATTTCATTACTTAGTGTTCTCTTATAGAATAAAAGACTGACTTGGATAGTCAAGCTCCCACAAGCTATTTAGGAAGGAAAGAGGCCCCTAAAACTAGATGGTTGGGACAAAATTATTCTCTGGGGGCGGGGGATAGAGGCATTGGCTAGGAAATTAGAAGAACTAAGATTTAATTTCAGTTCTGTTGCTAATAAGCAGTGTGACTTTGGGTTAAACAGCTTCTACAGTTTCAGTTTCCTTTTCTGTAAATGGGCATGGGGTGCTGCAGACCAGGGATCTGCTGCCTTCAGTGTGCATTAGAATCACCTGGGGGGCTTGTTAAATCAGAGATGGCTGGGCCCCACCCCAGAATTGGATTCAATAGGTCTCAGGTGGGACCCAAAATTTACATTTCCAGTAAGTTCCCAGGTAATTCTGCTGCTCTGGGGACCCCACTGTGAGAACCCATTTGACCGTCTCTAAATCCTTGCTAATCAATATATTGTTCTCAGACCAACATCATCAACATCATCTGGAAGCTTTTTAAAAAACATAAAATCTGGGGCCCTACTTAGTCCTACAGAATTAGACTCTGCATGAAAACAAGATTCCCAGGTGATTCTTTTGCACATTAAAATGTGAAAAACACGGCTGTAAATCTATTTTATGATTTTGTAGCGAAGATATTCTTTTTCTCTTTCTACACACACATGCACTCACCCACCCACCTATATATAGACACAGAAAAATTTATCTTCTCTTAATTTGCAAGGCAGATTGTGGTTTTCCTAATGCTTTCACTCTACATATGTGTATATGTAATCACTTAGCTAGAGAGTATCGCTTGATTTATGTATTATTATACATTAGATCATAAAAACAGGATCAGGGTGTTACTGATCAAAGAAACCTTAGGGATCCAGTCGAGCATCTCTAAAGAAGGAGAGAAGATGGATAGATGAAGAGAGATACTCGATGAAGTATAATTTCAGTTCTTACAACATACAAAGTTGTTGACAGCTGAATGCCTTGAGAAGGACATCCCAGACTTTCTCTTGTGCATTTTTGGAGTTAAAATAGGAATTACTTTAGGCTGTGGACATAACAGAAATAACCTAAACCAGCAATTAAAGGCAAAATACCACCACAGACTTCCGCGGGCTAGGCGCAGATTCCCGTTGAACTGCTTGGGGTGGAGGCCATTTTTAAAAATAGTGCTGAAGGTAAATCTATAATGTTTCCAGTTTTCAAAACAAATTTGTCCTTAAATTCTTTTTAGAGATTATTCAGATAGCCCTAAGCCACTCACATTTACAATGGTGAGATCTTAAGTTGGCAGTTTATGAAGAGCCCGTATAATTACATACCCAGCCTGTAAAATAAATAAGGTAAGCTTCTGTTTCTTCATGACTCATGTCTACACTAGTTTTTTCTCTCCCCCGGAACATAAAGATTTTCATCTGTCGAACCCAGCTGGGCTTCCTGGGGGAGCCAGGTGGCAGATAAAAGCATCTGTGCTCGCCCAGGAGTGTTTTTCAGGTAGGTGTTTTGTGTTGCTCTGTAGGTGGGGCCCGAGAGCAGGTGCACTCGGAGCAGGAAAGGCCCGCGCCGAGAAGGGGAGGGGCGGGGGAGGGGCGGGGCGGGGCGTCCACGCCCCCCGCCCCACGCCACAGGTGCTGCGCTCACCTGGCGTGATGGAAGACGCCAGCGAAGAGCGCGAGGTTGTTGGAAAAGACAAGCCAGGCCGTAGACCCCCGCGGCTGCTGGTCTGAGTACGTCACCGCGCCCCCCCCACCCCCAAGGGAGGTTCCGGGGACTCGATCCAGCGCGCACGTACCGGGTCTGGCCGGGGCCTTGGCAAGGTGGGGCCCCTGCGGCCGCGCGCCGTGCAGCCGGCCCGCCCTGCGGCCCTCGCCGTCGCGGCGGTCGCTGCGGTCGCTGCGGTGCGGCAGCAGCTCCAGGGGCCGCGGCGTGTAGAGGTCTGACTCGATCACCACCTGCCGGGAGGAGGAAGGACAGTCAGCTTGTGCCTCTCGGATCTTCAGATGCACCTTGGGCCCACAGTGACTTATCGGAGTTTTCCTTGCTCCAGCGAATGCTAGCAACAGTGAGAGAACTTGGGGTAACTGGCCTCCAACAGGCAACCGTTTTATTTCATCTCAGCGTGCCAAATAGTGCCGTGGTGCAGGATGATGAGGGTTCCTGGAGGGTTCGGGTTCCTCACCAGCAGTCCCTTCACAGAGTCAGCAGCCTGGGCCATCAAGCCAAAAATGTCCCCTGCCCTAGGACCTGACCTGGTTTGGCAACAGAACAGGCTATTTGAAATGATGACAGTTCTGGAAATCAGGGTCTTACAGTCTTTGCGCTAAGCAGACACCTTCGTTCACACACAGGATAGCTTTTTGAATGCTCTCGCAGAGAGAAGAGCTAGGGAGAGGACCCAGGGCCCAACTCATTCCCAGGTTTTAAAACAGAAGTTGCTGGTACAACCCCACATGCTCACATTTACCCCCACCTTGCAGAGGGCCTGTGTCAGGTGGAGCTGGGAGATGAATTTCCACTATGTGTGGTTCGCTAAGTGGAAATTCCCGAAAACCAGACAGAATGCTAAGAGCTAAGGTGTTTTCAGGAATGATCACCTGAATAGTTATTTTGGGAAGTACATTAAGAGGAAATACCCCTTTTGTCAGGACCCACCAAAAAGGGCCTTAAAAGTTATAATAAACATACTTAAATCATTGAAATAATTTAAATGTAAAAAAACTTGAGACAAAAAATACCATACTTTATCTTAATACCAAGAGTAGTGAAGGGAATCTTAGCGGTTTTGGGCTCTTATCCTGCATAGTTTTATACATATCCAGGACGTTGGGGTCATCCATTCTGAATTTCTTTGCTCCTTTAAAGCTGGTTGGAATGTCCAATAGTACATGGCAGCTACTCTGAGGTTTGCATTGACTCATTCACTTGCTCCTTCATCAGATGCCCTGTAAGGGCATGTTCCGTGCCAGGTCCTGGGCACTGGGGGCATCTGCAAGTAGGTGGACCCATCTGAGCCCTTGTTCTCTAGCCTCTGATGGATCCCCCCTCACTTGTCCACATAGAACAATTGTGTTGCTTTTGGAGGACGCTGAAGCAAATAAGACTAAATTTTTAAATATATATATAATGGGGTGATATTTTGATTTAATGGAGAAAAATTGGATCTTTAATACTGTTATAAGAAATGGCAGGTCACTGGGGGAAATGGATCTGTGTTCACACGTCTCACACCAAAATAAATACCAGACAGATCCAAGATACATATTAAAAACAAAAAACAAAAATTGAATGTGGCTCAATATAACATTTGTTACATATGAAGGGGAATGATCCCTATGTACATAGAACTCTTACAGATCAATAAAGAAGAGGAAAAGAGAAAAATGGGGCAAAAACCAGGAGCTGGCCATTGACAAGAGAAATACAAATGGTAAACACGACACCACAAACATGAAAAGATGTCGAACAGTAATTAAATGCAAGTGAAAAGAGTTGCTGTGTGTGTGTTTGTTTTTCCTCTCAGATTGCCCATGATGAAGAAGGTAACTCCATTTGTGGTCATCAGACCTGAGTTCATGCCCCCGTCTTGATACTTAGTGGTTCCGTGGAAAGGAGATATTCTTGTGTGTCCTTGCTGTCTTGGGGTGGAGCAAATGCCTATCATCTGTTTTAGTTTTAGTAGCAGAGCTTGCACTCTTTCCTCAAGCCACACATTTATCTGCAGCATCAGGGAGCAGTTCTTGTCTCCCAAAGAGGAAACAAGAAGAAGCTGTCACTCTTTGCTTCAGTTTACCACAAACAGTCCTTTGCTTAGAAAACCAATATATCCCCAATTTGGTCCTATCTGGGTTAGGAAATTAACTCCTCTCAAGCCTATTTTAGGGCCCAGATTCATTCATTCTGTGCCTTTGGAGAGAGCTGATCATTCAGGAGCATGTAGGATTAGCACCTGTTCTCCTCTGGGCATTGCAGAAGGTGGGTTTTTTTCCCCCTCAATAATTTAAAATATTCCTTTTTCCTCTCAGCTAAATTGAGATATCACTGACACCTATGATTTGGTAAGTTTAAGGTGTACAATGTGTTGATTTGATACATTTATAAGCTGTGGTATGATTAGAAGGTGGTGGTTCTTTTGGGCTGGGGGCAGCCCTGGGTCCACCCTGCACAAGCTCAGTGGGTGGTCCAGCACTGACCACCCAGCACTAACAGTCCGCTGTCCGCTTTACCTTCCTTCCCCCGGCCCCGTGCTCTGCTATGATGTTGCCCAGAATACCGGAATTTCCTAGGGTAATGGTTGTCTGGAGCCCCAGTCCCCAATATTTGGCCTATGGGCTCTCCCCTGGAGCGTGACCCTCCAGGTTAAATAGGAGAGACCTGAGCCTCATTACTGACACAGAGCTCTTGGCTACCACAGGTATTTCTGATTTTATTTTCATTCTGTCAGCATTCTTCTGAGTGAGGGGGAGTGAGACTGGTATGTTTTCAGACCCACTTTGTACAAGGAGAAAGTAAAGCAGGTGAAGAAAGCCTGCAGAGTCCGTGAGGGAGACCCAGCATTTCCTCCTCTGAAAGGGAAGCAAATGTTCCCTTTGAGGAACAAGAAACTCCACCTCCGCAATCGCTTCTCTGCGCTGTGGGGTGGCAGAAGAGAACCGGGAAGGAGAGAGCCAAGAGGCGTCAGGTGCTCAGCCCTCTGCTGGAGGTAGGAGCGACCAGGGGATGGGGGTGAGGCTGGTTACTTCCCAGATCATGACTTTGGGCCAAGTGCCCCTTCAGGGTGTCTTCTCCAGTCCCCAAAAGATGCCAGTAGCAGGAAAGGAAAGAGGAGAGGTGCCCAGTTCAGAAGATTTCCCTTTCTTAGCTGGTCTTGTGCTTGGTTCTCATTTCCCACAGTAACAGAAGCTCTGAGAGGGCTCCGGGGGGAGAGCGTTGGGCCCACACCAGGAAACAGACAACCGAATGGATGGCTGTGGCCTCCTGAAAGCCTGGGCTATTTTCTGGTCTCTAGGACACAGTTTGGGGCGGCGGCTGCTGCTGGTCTTAGAACAAGCTGGTCTGAGAGCAGGCTCTTTAGTGGGCCCCCCAGCCCAGTACAGGGGTAAGACAAGGGAATGGGGAGAGGGAAGGGAGAGACGGGTTTAGTGTTGGATTTGCCTTTCCTAATCAGCAAACTGCCTTCCGAAAGTAGGGGGGGTGTACTAGAGCAATAAATTGATGCTCCCCTGCTGGTCTCGGGTTATTGATAGAATATCGGAAGTCGGGCGCCTGGGTGGCTCAGTCGTTAAGTGTCTGCCTTCGGCTCAGGTCATGACCAGGGTCCTGGGATCGAGTCCCACATCGGGCTCCCTGCTCAGCGGGAAGCCTGCTTCTCCCTCTCCTACTCCCCTGCTTGTGTTCCTGCTCTCGCTGTGTCTCTCTGTCAAATAAATAAAATCTTTAAAAAAAAAAAAAAGAATAACGGAATTCATGGGCTAACACTCAAGCCTCAGGATTCCATCCACTGACATCTTCAAGTCACACTTCTGTTTGTTCGCCAGCCTAGGGGGCTGGTAGGGAGTTGGAAAGACAGGTGAGACCTAGGTGATGGAGAATCATCATGACTTAGGGCTGATGGGATCCACAGCAATGTTCTAGCCCAACTCCCTAATTTTACACATAGGGAAACTGAGGCCAAGAGAGGTCATGTGTCTTCAGGGTCACAGAGTTATAAGGGACAGAGCCAGAATGAGAGTCGTGATTTTATGACTTCTAGGTGAGTGCTCTTTATAAGACCCAGAGAAGTGCCTACATCTAGATAAGAAATTTCAAGTGTAATCAATCACTCAGGGCCTTTTGAAAAATCAGTAAATTTCCAGGCCAATTTCTCCCCGATCAGGTTGAACTCCGGGGAGAATGTGACATTTACAATCTCATTTCTCCATCTTTCCTGGTGGTGGTACCGCTGCTCATTATGATGGGGCTGGGAATCAGTGGCCCCCGGGGGGCCTGACTGCACCCTAGGGATGCTGTGGCACTAACGATGATTTAGAGGCGAGAGATCTTTGTAAAGGAGGGAAACTGACTCCTTTGGTAGCCCAAGGACAACAGACACAAATAAGAATTTCAGGACAAAGAAAGTCATAAACATTGGTAGATTCAAGCGGTTAGACAAAATATGAATGTTTTCCTTGGGAACTCAAAGGCAGCCAAGAGCCCGTCAGATCAGAGACAATTCTTTCTTTAGGACTCACTTCCCTCATCTTAGGTAGACTAAGACCTTTCTTGTCTTTTCTAATTTGAATGTTCTGTACAGCTGGTGTTGAGGTGTGCAAGCAAAGGATGAGTCAGGCTGTTAGGGGAAACGAGGAATTTAGAGGAGAGCTCAAAGGCCAGAGGGCATTATTAAGTTGTCTCACCTGGAGGAAGCCTGCATAGGTGAAGACAAGATCCAGCTTCTAATTTTTTTCTTAAAAGCAAATTTTAATATGTATTCATATACTTGAGTCATTTTTTTTTTCTCTGAGTAAAAATATTTTGGAGAGGGAAAGTCATAAGCCATAAACATAACTGTCTTTCTCAAAAATTTCCACTCCCAGGAAACCTGAGAGCATGGTTTTACAGTGCTGGCTGAAGTCAAGTGGCTCTTCCAGAAGGTTGTGTCCTGTATTTTGGTTGCTTTGTGTATCTCATCCCCATGTGGCTTCATCACCACCATCTCAGACAACTGAGAGTTTTCTCCTTTATTTAGGTTCAAAATCTCCTGAGGATTTTCTTCCCTAGAACCTACTTAACTATTAGAAAGTGTGGTGATTTAGTTTCCATTTTAAAAGCTTTTGTAAATACTGTTCTGTCCTTATAAAGCCAATAGATACAGGTATTAGGAGTGATTCAGACATGAACACTGTTTAGGGTTAGAAATTCAAGGCAAGAACTTGGTTGAAAACTAAATAGTCCCAATTCCCAAGGGATCTTTCTGGAGTCAGGAATGATTTGTGGCTCTTCAAATCTAGAGTAATGCCAAACTCAAGCCCCTTGACTGAAAAGTCTGTTGTGAAACTTTCCTTAAACTGAAAATTACCCACAAACAACCCCTTCCCTTTCCATTTTTAAAAAGATTTATTTATTTTAGAGCTCGAGTGCGAGTGGGGGAAGGGACGGGGAGAGGGAGAGAGAAAATCCTCAAGCAGCCTCCCCACGGAGCACAGAGCCCGAGGTGGGGCTCAACCCCAGGACCCCAAGATAATGAACTGAGCTGAAATCAAGAGTTGCCTGCTTAAACGACTGAGTCACCCAGGCGCCCCTCCCTTTCTATTTTTGGTAACACCCACTCCTTGAAAATCAGGAGCATTTTTCTTTTAGACTGTGGGCTTAAGTTTTCAGGGACCAGGAGAAAGGTAAGAATCTTTTGCCCTACCACAAAGAAATTTTCCATTAAAAGCCTTTTTCTTTCCTTTTTTTTTGCTTTTAAGTAGGCTTTACTCCCAGCACAGAGCCCAAGGCAGGGCCTGAACTCATGACCTGAGATCAAGACCTGAGCTGAAATCAAGAGTCGGATGCCTAACTAACTGCACCACCCAGACACCCCTCTTTTCTTTCTTAATATAAAATATTCTCAAAAGTCATTAAAAAATACATACAACAGAAAAATGTACAAAAGACATGAGTTAAGAACCTATAGAGAAAAAAATATCAAAATCCCTGAAAGGATGAAGAATGATATTAATAATTAAAGAATGCAAATTAAAACAAGATATTTTCACCCATCAGATTGTCAAAGATGAACAACGTTGATGACATATAGTATGGACTTCGGTGTTTTGGTAAAGTTACCCTAAAACACAGTTGCTAAGAATTTGGTAATGGCTATAAATTTTCAATGTTCATATCCTTTGAACATTTTCTTTTTTTAAATTGAGATATAATTGACATATAACATTAAGGAGTACAATGTGTTGATTTGATGACCAAGCATTTTCATATCTGTGAATTTATCCTCAAAAATATTTGCAAAAGAGCATGAAAAATATGTTCAAGGATATTACTTACAGCATTGTTTTAGTAGAATTTGGTTAAATAATCTAGAAAACTTCAGATGTGATTTGGGCAGAAAATTATAGTACATTCATATAATGGCATGGTATGCAGCCTTTATAAAGAATGAGATAGCTTTGCAAGGAGACTTGGGACGAAGTTGTAGCAAAGCAGCAGCTACAGTTGCACCGTTGTATCTTCAGCTTCAGAATGTTTCCCATAGTCAGAACCGCTCTAAGTCATCTCCGAGTTCAAAGCATTCCACAAACAATGGCAAGGCAGAGCCACCAGAAAAGGACACCTGATTTCCATGACAAATATGGTAATGCCGTACTAGCTAGTGGAGCCACTTTCTGTATTGCTGTATGGGCATATACAGCAACACAAATTGGAATAGAGTGTAACCTGTCCCCTGTTGGCAGAGTCACCCCAAAGGAATGGAGAGATCAGTAATCATCCCAGTTGGTGTAATACTGAATTGTTTCAAAACCAACTCATAATTGATGCCAAGTAAAAGCACTGTGCACCCATTAAAGTATGGCATGGTTGAAGAAATAAAGTACATTTGAAACCTTAAAAAAAAAAAAATGAGGTAGATCTATAAGTATTAACTGGCATGTAAAGATGTTCAAGATTTATAGTTTAGTGAGAAAAGCAAATTGCAAAACAGTATGTTATCGAGCAATGGAGCATAATAATGATATGTTAGTATATGGGAAATTTTCACTTAAAAAACGCCAATAATAATTGAATGCTTGGTTTGTGTCAGGCTCTGGACTAAGCACTTTACATGTATTAAATCATTTGCTCTCCAGTGGTTCTTGAGATATGTGCTCCTATTATTCCCATTTGAATACTAAAGCAGTTGAGTTCCAGTATGGTGGGCAACTTGCTCAAGGTTACCTAGCTAGAAATGGATAGTACTGGAATTTAAGTCCAGGCAGTTGGACTCTAAGTCTATATATCTAACCATTATGTTCCACAGCTTCTTAGAATTTTCTGATATGATATTTTATATGTTCATAGTATTTGAAATTTTATAATAGGCACATACTACTTTGGGAATCAAAAAAAGGAATGTTTGTAAAAACAACAATGACTAAAACCCCATCTCATTCCCAGGATGCTGAAAAAATTCTTTTTAATGGAGAATAGGCCTTCAAAAATTGAGATACTTAGAAAATCAAAATGGTGTTCCATGAAAAATTGTGATAGAAATAGAAACTCCAGGGCGCCTGGGTGGCTCAGTTGGTTAAGCGACTGCCTTCGGCTCAGGTCATGATCCTGGGGTCCCGGGATCGAGTCCCGCATCGGGCTCCCTGCTCGGCAGGGAGTCTGCTTCTCCCTCTGACTCTCTTCCCTCTCGTGCTCGCTCTCTCTCTCATTCTCTCTCTCAAATAAATAAATAAAATCTATAAAAAAAAAATTAAAAAAAAAATAGAAACTCCAGCATAACCAAGAGGAAACAATTAGCAGTTAAACCTTTTCAGTGAAAGTACAAAGATGGATTGACAACTTTTGTATACAGAAATGTGTAAGTAAAATGACAAATTTACCGCATCCTTTGGTTCTAATGACATGTAAACTAATTTTAAGGTAATGCAAATGCTTATTAGAGTAGCAAAAGATAATGTAAAAAAAAAAATGAAAGTCAATGTTAGTGAGGTTGGAGGTAAATGGAAAAGTGTTGCT